GTCAACATCTCACACAGATTTCTGGATACACACAGTGATGCATTCTGGCAGGGTAAGGAAGGGCCTTCCATTTCCTGCTGTCTGTTTTAACTTAATAATCATAGGCTGATGCTTCTGGCATATCTAAAATAAATTAATATTGAATTAATTTGAGTCTTTTTTTTTAACACACACACACACACACACACACACACACTGAAGGAACCATTAATGCTATCTTGAAAATTTACTTTTAAAAAAGCCATTATGCTTAAATATAATTGCCTAAAGCCGAACTAAATATTACAAATGATTCTTGTGCTCTGCCCTCCCCACTACTGGTAAAATGCTTCTTCACCCATTTTGACAATACTGCGAGATTCACAGTTGCCAAGCTAATTTGTTTTATTGGTACATATAAAATGATCTTTTTTTATTATTTAAAAAAGATCCATTTTTATTGACAGTTTTCAACATAAAATGCAATAAAAACCAAACTGATCTAAAGAAATGAATAGAAGAGAAGCAAGAGATGAGAATAAAGAAATAGAAAAGGAAGGAAAGAAGAAAAAATATCTTGATCTGTTTGACAAAATAATTTATTGCACCTTTGTGTTTAAAATCTTGCTACCAGGAATTCATTTTGGGCTGTTTAATGTAGATCATGTTTAAACCGTTTTTTTTAAAAAGGGAATGTCAATTTCAAAGTTGTCATATCTGCAAAAGTGACAGCAGTTGGTCTTATGATAAGGACGGTTTGCTAAACAACATTATTCCCAGAACATGAGCTCTTTGCTTTTCTTCTTTTCTCCTCAATTTATAGTCCACTTCCGAACATGACAAATGAAAATGTACTTCTTAACACAATGTGTAATTAACTTGCAGAAAACACAAAAACGTCATGTGGTGAGGGCCGCTATTTTATATGGCTTTCCAAAAGATTTGACAAAGTCATGCAGGATGACTTGGGAAGCAGTCTTAAACATGACAGTTAAATTGAACAGAGACAGTTTAACTCTCATTAGCAGAGGCTGGCAAGGATAGGGGGCTGGTTTGTGAAATAAGGGGTGGCTCTCACCACTGCAATATGCTTGTGAGCTCTGAAAGGAATCTGGCTAGCCACTTTTGGAGACAGAATGCTAGACTACTTCCAGCCAGCTGAAACCTTTAGACCAGCCTGTCTCAACCTTGGATCCCCAGATGTTGTTGGACTAAACTCCCATCATCCTTTACCACTGGTCCTGCTGGCTAGGGATGATGGGAGTTGTAGTCCAACAACGTCTGGTGACCCAAAGTTGAGAAAGGCTGTCAGTGAGGGACTCAATAAACCTTCTTGTTTTCACTCACTGTCTGGAACTATAAACACATGTGTCTGTCAAGCATCTAAGGTAAAGGGACCCCTGACCATTAGGTTCAGTCACAGACGACTCTGGGGTTGCGGCGCTCATCTCGTTTTACTGGCTGAGGGAGCCGGCGTACAGCTTCCGGGTCATGTGGCCAGCATGACTAAGCCGCTTCTGGCGAACCATAGCAGCGCACGGAAACGACGTTTATCTTCCCGCTGAAGCGGTACCTATTTATCTACAGTGGTACCTCGGGTTAAGAACTTAATTCATGCTGGAGGTCTATTCTTAACGTGAAAGTGTTCTTAACCTGAGGTACGAGGTACCACTTTAGCTAATGGGGCCTCCCACTGTCGCCACGCCGCTGCTGCGCGATTTCTGTTCTCATCCTGAAGCAAAGTTCTTAACCCAAGGTATTATTTCTGGGTTAGCGGAGTCTGTATCCTGAAGCATCTGTAACCTGAAGCATCTGTAACCTGAGGTACCACTGTACTTGCACTTTGACGTGCTTTCGAACTCCTAGGTTGGCAGGAGCAGGGACTGAGCAAAGGGAGCTCACCCCCTCACGGGGATTCAAACTGCTGACCTTCTGATTGGCAAGCCCTAGGCTCTGTGGTTTAACCCACACCACCACCCGTGTTGAGCATCTAGCAGGGCACAATAAGGACAGCTTTATCCCCTATGTCCCAGGGTGATCACTAAGATCATCTGGGGAAGTACTATTAGTTGTTCCCCATGGACCAGATGCACAACTCATGTCAGCAAGGAGCCATGCCTTCTGTGTAGTGGACCCAAAACTACGGCACTCCCTCCCACTAGAAATCAGGTACACACACAACTAAGTTTCGGATGGCAGGAAGGGGCAGATGGCATACAGCTGGTTTCCACATCTCGCCTCCAAAGGAAGCTGACAGCAACAAAAGACTAATGTCAGGGAAGGCAATAATGGTCAGTCTCTTCCCCCAGCTTCCTGGAAGTACCATCTGCTGGTATAGGTCTTCTTGCATTTCAAAAACACCTCAGCAACCTGGCTTAAATGCAGTTCAGAGGGGAGGGGTCCTCTCACCAGGCTAGATGGTATACAGCGTGGGATGGCTGCCTGCAACAGGATAAGGAGGAACGTCTAGGACTCTCTGCCTGCAGCAGCTGTCTCACTTCCAGCCCCAGCACAGAGGTAAGCTATGGGTTGGGGAGGGCTTGGCAGCCCCACCACCTTCCTCCTTTTTGATCTTTTTGATTAGCCCCCCTCACCCCTTTTTTATATCTGATTGAGGCAGTCCCACCTTTCACAGGGTTTCCTGCCCTCACTTCTTAGTTTGAACCTTGATCTCAGGTGTTCAGTCGAGAGGCCTTTGAACACAGTGATTAAGTGCCAAAAGTAATGTGCACCTGTATGTAAATCTTATGTCGGAGCTGCTCCATTTCTCAGTTAAGAGGGAAGCAGGTGCCAGGTACAACTGCTATTTATAGAGCACTCTGGAGACAACTGTGCAAGATAAATGGAACATTTTCCACCAGCAATTTCTGCTGGAATAACTGAGAAAATGGTAGGATCTATTCAGTTTATCCCTTAGATGTAACACAATCCTGAACTTTAACTTGATATTTCAGATTTTCTTTATTTAGATATCATGTCACACAGACTCTCTCCAAAGCATAAAGACTCTTGTTGTTAACTTTGCAAGTCTGCTGCTGTAATTGATCCTGTATGTTTGGCATTTATAGATGTATTCTTTCCAAAAGTAATGAGGACTCATGCTTCACTTATCTATTCTTTACCCCCTCAATGTGATCTTTGGAATTTTTGATTGCTTTACAGTGGTACCTCGGGTTAAGTACTTAATTCGTTCCGGAGGTCCGTACTTAACCTGAAACTGTTCTTAACCTGAAGCACCACTTGGAGCCTCCTGCTGCTGCCGCGCCGCCAGAGCACAATTTCTGTTCTCATCCTGAAGCAAAGTTCTTAACCCGAGGTAATATTTCTAGGTTAGCGGAGTCTGTAACCTGAAGCGTATGTAACCCAAGGTACCACTGTATATTGTTTCAATCATTTGTCTGTAATAAAAATGGTGTGGTTGGGGTTTTTTTTAAAATAAAAAAGAACCCTGTTAACTTTAACTACCTTAATAAGCAGAAGGTCCTTCCTTAGACTAGGAAATTGGGCCTGGTGATGCCTTCTGGTTTTAAGGGTATTTCAGACATGATGAGAACAGTGAAAGAGAGGAAGCATAGAGGACTTGCACTTCCTCTCCCATCAGAAATTGATCCTGCATGTTTTTCTCAACATGGACTCTACATTCTTCCAAGGGGAGAAGTTTGCATATGTCAGGAGTGAGGATTCTTATCTGTCTTCAGGTGTTGCTGGACTACAACTCCCTAAGCTTTGGAGATGCCATCTAAGACTGATGGAACTTGGAGTACAACAACCACAACCGCTACCAGCAGGGCAGAGGTTCGCCATCACGGATGTACACAATTCTCCTTTCATTTTCCCACGTCTGAGATGTTTCCCAGTCCAAATTCACTCTTCACATTAATGCTTCGGTCCTCCTCCTAAGCAAAGCGGCTTAAACCTTGTCTTGCCCAGGCATCCACAAAAATCTATTTGCAAGGGCCAAGTGCCTCAGACCAAAAGGTGAGAAGGCTGCACAGTGGTGGCCATTCCTTCTCCCAAGCTCTCCCTTCCACACACTTTGCAGAAGATAAGAGGCAGCTTGAGCATAGGCGAGAGACTCATGCTGTTCCCTACCTTGTACAAATCTCAAAGGAAATGAGAGGAATCTTTGGCTTTCCCTCAATCCTCCTATCCATGCTAGAGGGCTTGAAACAGAAGCCAGATCTCATCTCACTTTCACAGAGGTCTGGATAAAATAAAATAACAGCAGGAATCTCTCCAGAAATCCCTGCATTTTCCCCTGAGCCCTCTGCACATGCCCAGAAAAGTTAGGAAGAGAGCCAGTGATGAGCACAGAGGCTAACTATATAAATTTGATTTGATTCACATTTAAAGGCAAATTTGCCTAATTTGCACTTTCAGGAACAACAGGCAAACTGAAACCCAGCTATCCTTTGAAATGCACACTTCTTAAAAATCTGTAGTACAGTTATGCAGCCAAACAATGTGTACAGAAATGCATACACCAGGGTAAAGTGTGCTTATAAATGTATGTATTAGTGAAAATAACAGACAATAATGCATTATATTAGGGAATGTTGCTTTGCATGTGTTGTATATTCACAAAGTTGCATACCAAAAAATATTGTACATCAGGATAAATTCATAATAAAATGTTGATGGACATTCAGGTGGACTTTAAAAAATCCCAAATTGATGTCGAAAACAGAACATCACCCATATCTACTAGCATCTAAGCAAATATTTACCAATCCTCAAAACCACCAGAAACTGGGATCCAAGAAACTGCCCTCCAGCTCTGAGTGGACCTAAACTGATTCAGAAATGTGACTAAGGGACCTTAAACCCAGAAAAATGAGACACTGAAATTGATAGATTTGTCCATCACTATTTTGGACTGGGCTACAAAAAAACAGTCAAACAATAACCGAGCCACATTCTTTCCAAATAGGCTGCGGATATCTCTAGCTGAAAGTGTCACAAGTCCGTCTTCTCAAATATATGACATTTCTCATTTTGGAAGAGGACAGAGAGTTCTTGAAGCCGGTGTTTGTCCTCAGAAAGCCTTCAGGGCCTGCTCTCCGTGTCGGACACAATGTCTCAAATGCAGATGATGCAACACTCGGGCACCCAAAATAGGAACGAGTCCCTGCGACCAGATGCTATTCTTCGGGAAGCTGAAAGGATTTCCGAAACAGAGCGCTTGTGGCAAATTTGCACTCCAGAGCATCCTTTGACCTCTGCTGAATTGGGATGAAGGCAGCCATGTATAACAATTAAACCTAATTAGGCCGGAGCACATTAGCTGTGTGAAATGTAAAATGCTTTATGTTGCTGAGTGCGGGCATCATCCGCCGGTCACTGCTGGTATCAAAGACCCGTGGAAACAAACGGGGAAATTGCACAAAAGGCATCGTTTGGAGGGTAGGCAGTGAAAGCTTCCATTGAAGTTATTCCAATCTGTCCCAGCTAGCGACTGCCAGTGAAGGCTTGTATAATTAATAAAAGGATTAAAATTAGCATAAGTTCAGGAAAGGATGTCACACGAAAGCTGATTTTCAGCATGCCACCCCAACCTCACTAACTGTCTGTTCCATTCTAGGTTGCGAAGGGATATAGGGTGCCCCCTTTTATTTCCCCCCATATGAATGAATGGCTATTGGGGAACCTGTAGCTGGGGAGCAATACTGCACTGGGAACAAAATATGTCTACCACTCCAATGCCAAAAGGGACCACATGGACTGCCATGCCTCTCCTACACACACACACACACACACACACACACACACACACACACACACACACACACACACACACACACACACACACACACACACACACACACACACACACACACACACAACCACACACATTTTGTGACAGCTCCAGGAATCTCCACTGTCACTCAATGCTTGGCTTTGATTTGTCTGCCTTTACAGGGCCTTTTTGAAATTTTGAATTAATTCTGTCTTTACTAATTCATGAAATGGAGAGAAATGACCTTAAAATGTTTATCCCAAAGCTGAGAGGATGAAAAACGAAAACAAGCCCCCAGCTATCTTTTCTACGTCCCTTGTCAGACCACCTCAGAGGTCCAGTGAGGCCCAGTCCACTTCCAGCTTTTGAGGCTCCTAAGACCAAGTAAAAGTTAAAATGACCACACCTCTGAAACAAATGAAAGCACCAAAAACAGAGTGAGGCATAATTTGAATTTTGTGTTTCTTTAACAAATGCTTTTCTGGACTTTCCTGAGAGCCTGTGACACATTTTGGTGTGGTGCCTAAAGCTGCAAGACTTTATCAACTGCAGATTCCTTGCACACCCACCCACCCAGGATGTAGCGCAGGACAAGAGGGAGTCCTCCTTTATTGAGAGGACTTGCAGCTCCTGCCTCTCAGCTGCGAGTCCGGGTGTAGCTGGACCGCTGTGGCCACAGGTACGTGTTCTGAGTTGGATGGTGCTGAGCGTTTCTGAAGTATGAGAAACAAAAGCGGGTTTTGTGTGTTTTTAGCACACTCATAAGTTTTAAACATTGTATGTACTGGCTTCTTGAGTTTTGTATGTGTGTGAGAGTGAATGTTCAGGGTGCTGAGTATACCTGCATGTACTGCAGCTTGCGATCTTAAGCAAAGCAGAGCAGCATGTTATAGGAACCGGTTCTCTTCCTCTTCAGGCTGCAGAGCTGGCCCTTGGATTCGTTCTGCAGCAGGTGGGTCTGGGCCTAAGAGCGAAGTAAGATGCCCAGTCCCTGTAGTCCTTCAATAGCAGAGCTCAGCTGGGTTAACCCAAGCCTTTGAACTCATCGTCACATGCATCCGAGCCTCCTTTTGAGCTTGAGGCCCTTCTGAGCCCTCTCTGACAGGCCCTGCTCCTCACTCCCTGGATTCAAGAGGAAAGAGAAAATATACAGGGTTGAAGCTTTACCTACTGTTATCCTGAACAGGCAGTTGAAACCTGCAAGTGGGATGCGCAACAAAATGTTGCAGTACAGAGCGTTTCTGTTCAATGCCATCCTCCAAGCTATTCTATTCCCCCATTTACCTGCTTTTGTATCTATCCCTCTCAAACAACAGTCAGTGTCCACGTATTCATTTTTCAGATTCCCCTACGGCAAGCCTGCTGATATCCAATTATTGTGTAATAATAATAATTAATTATAATTGTCTTATTATTTCACCCTGACCATCTGGATGGCTGCAACTGCTTTAGAGGAAATGATCCCTTGCCCTGTCAAACCTTCTCTCAGGGAACTGAAGCAAGACCAAATGTGGGGAAAAACAGGCATAGTTGAATTTCTTCCTCTGCCTTTGGCAATACACTTAATGATGAATGAGAGGAGTGAGAGGAGACAGGACTGAATTTCTGACTAGTTGGGACTCTCATATTTGCAGGCGGGGCTCCAAAGAAATGAATGGGAAAATCAGTGTACAGCCTTTCCATTGTACTTGATTGTCTTTACAGTACAGTGGTACCTCAGGTTACAGACGCTTCAGGTTACAGACTCCGCTAACCCAGAAATAGTACCTCGGGCTAAGAAATAGTACCTCAGGATGAGAACAGAAATCGTGCGGTGCTGGCGTGGCGGCAGCAGGAGGCCCCATTAGCTAAAGTGGTACCTCAGGTTAGGAACAGTTTCAGGTTAAGAACGGACCTCCAGAACGAATTAAGTTCTTAACCCGATGTACCACTCTAATAGATTTTTAAAAGCAGTTTTGATTCTTTTACTACTTTTTCATCTGATTACTGCAAGCTTGTTTGAAAAGAATAATAGAATATATATATATTATAAATATATGCATTCTAAAATATAAAATAACCTGAAATACTCTCTTGGGGAAAAAAATCAAGTTTCCATTCTTTAACAGGAAACTGTCGTGCCGCAAGAATTAAAATAGTTAGGTGTGGCACTGTACTCATTGAGAAAGCCTCCTGTGACAACTAAACTAGCTGCAATCCTATGTACATTTATTTGTGTTCCTTTTTCTTTAAAGCAGTTTTAAAAACCCTATTATATTGCTCATTAGTCTCCCATATGTTGCTGAACTGCAACTCCCATCAGCCCTAACAAGCATGGCCAATGGCCAGGAATGATGGGAATTGTAGTTCAGCAGTATCTGGAGAGACAAATGTTTCCCATGCCTGATATAGTATGTAATTTGGTCAGAGATTTTTCAAACAGAGAAACAGAAGACCTGAGATTGCAATGCATCAGTTTATTAGACAATATATTCAATTTGCCAATTAGTGTAATTTTAGATTATTAAATTATTATCTGGCAAGAGTTTATATGGCAATATAATGTTATATTAGGATTCAGTCGTCCACCTCTTTTCTTTTTATCACTGAGTACCAACATTTTCATTCTCGTTCTGTCTCCCACCCCCAATTCCTGATCAATTTCAGAAAGAGTTGCTCCCATCTGTTAAGCTACTGGACCAAAAATTTAATAGTGAGAAACTGAAATGGAAGATTGTCTTAGGCATCAGTGTCATTTAAACTAGAGTAATTCTCTGTCAAAGAGTGATGGATATACCGGTAATTTTCCTACTACTTAATTAATAACACACATTATTTAACTAATGAATCATAATTATTCCAATATATTTCTGTATAGATCATTCAGTTTCCTTGTTGGATTTATCCCTAAATGTCTTGTTGGTTTGTCTTCCCAAGCATATTTAAGTTTTTCATTATTAAAAATAGATTCTTTGTTGTATTGATTCCTATAGTAATTTCTGAGGGTTTTTTCTTTAATTCATTTGAATCATAAAATTCACAGAATCGTAGAATTGTAGAGTTGGAAGGGATCCTGGGAATCCTGGGAAGAGGTTCCCAAACCTATTTGGCCTGCTCACCCCTTTTCAGAAAAAAAGAAAATTCAGTGCTCCCCTGGAAATCTACCTTCTTTAAGAGAACAAGTGAAGTCTGCTGATCTTCCCCAGGGGCGGGGCCAGCGCTGTAGCCCACCTGCCATTGGCCATATAGGCAGGCAAGTTGCGATCCACTTCCCAAGCCCAGGTGAAGCCAAAAAGGGTTGACCCAAGCTTGGGGAAAACCCCTCACCTGCCAGATCCAGGGAAGGCATTGTCACCATCTCGCCATGGTGCCTTACCTGGTGGTAAGCGTCATCACACAACAGATGAAACATGTACAAACGTGTTTCCCCCCCAAAAAAATTCTCTTCTTTTTTAATGCTTCCACCACCCTCTTATTTTTTATTCAACAGCCACCAATTGCACTCAAGGCTACTACCTCCCCTCCCGCCCCGCCCCCCAGATCATTCCAGCACCGCCCAGGGGGCAGTATCACCCACTTTGGGAAACGCTGATCTAGTGCAACTCCCTGCAATGCAGAAAGCTCCACTAGATCACACATGACAGATGGCCATGCAGCTTCTGCTTTGTTAAAACCAGGAATAGGGAGGCGATTAAGTGACTTCCAAAATCCCAAGTCCCCACCACAGCCTCTAACTAAGGCCAGGACAATGACCATTGACACAGGCACCATGCATACACAACAGCAAAGAGGCTCAGAAAGACAGTCTATAAAATTGTAGCAGTAAATGGATACCATGTATCCTACTGTTTCCTCTGAATACCCAATACAGTGGTACCTCAGGTTAAGAACTTAATTCGTTCCGGAGGTCCGTTCTTAATCTGAAACTATTCTTAACCTGAAGCACCACTTTAGCTAATGGGGCCTCCTGCTGCCGCTGCGCCACCACCGTGCGATTTCTGTTCTCATCCTGAAGCAAAGTTCTTAACCCAAGGTACTATTTCTGGGTTAGCAGAGTTTGTAACCTGAAGCATATGTAACCTGAAGCGTATGTAACCCAAGGTACTACTGTATACAGTAATGCCTCATGTTACGTTTGCTTCATGTTACGTTTTTTCAGGTTGCGTCCCGCGGCGACCCGGAAGTACCAGAAAGGGTTACTTCCGGGTTTCGCCACTTGCGCATGTGCAGAAGCACTAAATCGCACTTCGCACATGTGCACAAGTGCCAAATTGCGCCGCACATCTGCACAGATACGGCGCTTCAGGTTGCGGGCTTTTCGTGTTGGAAACGGGCCTCCAGAATGGATCCCATTCGTAACCAGAGGTACCACTGTAGAATCAAATAGCCACCAACATTCAACGGTTTGACGGATTTCCTTGGTTCCAATGGCTAATGACTCCTCTGGAAGAGGGGAATCCAGGTCTCCCCTGTCTCCATAATCCCTTAAGCATAAGGTCACATACTCCTTCCCCCTCCACAAGGTGTGAACTTAGCCACACAAATGGAGGCGGAGCTAGATGCTTCGGCACCCGGGGGCGGGGCAGGGTGAGCTGCCCACGGGGGCAGGCCAGAGAGCATCCCACGGGGTGGTGGGGTGAGTGTTGAGCATCCCAGGGGGGCACTGCAGCAAGCAGTGAGCGTCCTAGGGGGGCGCCGCTCACGGCAATGTCACCACCCTCAGGGATGACACCCAGGGCGAGCCACATCCCCCGCACCCCCCCTTCCTCTCCCAGTGCACACAATAGGAGGCAGGAGGCAGTCAAGGGCAGCACATATCCCAGACAGAAACCCATCAGGATAGTGGATTGAATCCTGATACTTTCAAAGGAGAAGCACAGGAAAGCCTTGCAGCTAGGGGGATGTGTAAATACTCTTACTGTTTGGGGGGAACAGGGTAGTTAAAAGGTATCGGGAACTGGGGTTATTGACAGGGGTGAGTGATGGGCTCACGTTTCTACATGCCAAACACTCCTACTTTGTAACATATCTGTGATGTGTCAATGATGCTGTTGAAAAATGTATTATGGGAAATGGGGAGAGGTCTTAAAAGTTCACGCAACCCTATGCTTGGGGTTCCTATTCTTTGTGAGTTTGAAACTTGTTGCAACAAATAAAGATCAGGTCTACTGACCACTGTTTGCTTCTTTAACTTGGCTGGAGTCTCCTTTTGCTGACCGGAGAGAACCACAGGGAGTGGCACCCCGACGAGCTGGGCAGTGAAGTAAATCCACACCCCAGGATTTTTCCTTATCAGCTTAAAAACCAGATTATTGTTGACTTGCAAGGGACTTTGTAACTGTTAAAGTTAAACCTCCTCCCCGCCATTATATTGCCATTTTCCCATTAATCCAAATATGCAGTATTGTTTTTCATGTTAATATGTAACACTCAGTATTCAACATAAATCCTCACTTGACTGCACTGGCTACCACTTAGTTTCCAGCTTCCATTAAAATTGATGGTTTTGTACCTCAAGGACCACCTCTCCCCGTGGATACTGTGTGCTCTAACCACTACATTATTTTACACTGGCTTGTGTTTCATCTGCTGCTGTTTCAGAAGCAATTAAGATTCTTGCCTAGCCCATCGCCATATCCCATTTTAGACTTAGGAGTGAATTTTAAATGGATGCGATAGAATGCTGTCCCAACAATAGAGAAGAAATTTTGTATATCTGTGATGCCTTAGGAATCACAGTGTATCTCCACAATGGGTGGACACTATCCAGCCAAAAGTCGCATTGATGGGAGAGTTGATGACATGCTTTAGGCAACAATCCTAAAACTGGCTGAAACTGGCATAATTGCCACTCTGCCAATGAAGAGGAAGGTCAACCTGAGGGATGGCACTTATAGCCCCAGAGTACACACAACACCAGTATGCCCATAGAGAGCTTTGCAGCCATAGAAGTCCCACCAGCAGTGGTGGGCCAGAATTGGGCAAGGAGGGCCTTCTGTGTCCCCTGCCATCTCCCAAAAAGGGATTCCCTTCTGTCTACAGTAAGCCAGAAGGGCTTTGGATATGGCAATTGCTCCATTATGGAATCTTACCAACAATATGGATTCATCTCATAGTCTTTCACAATTACATCAATGGGACTTCCAAGTACTTTACTTTTCCTGGATGCTGCAATATGATAATGTACTAGTTAGCTGATAGGTATCTACTTCAAATGGTGAGTCAGTCTCATAAGCCAGTTCCTGGTGGAATTCATCCTACTGCCATAATTATTTAAATTTCTTATAAAGATTCACAATTAATAAATAAAAAGGAAGAATGGGGCAAACAGAATGCTTGCTGGTTTCCTCAAACTATTTTGCATGAATTAACATGTTCTCTTGGCAAAATATAAGAACAAATGGTGTGGCCGGCCTGCCAGGGAATGTGCTGCCATTGGTTAATTTGCTGTGATGTCACAAAGACCACAATAAGTGCTAAGGCAGCAGAGAAATAAGCAAAGTTGGGAATTCAAGAGAGAGAGCAAGAACTGAAAGCTGTTCCAAATTCACTGGAAGGCATTTTTGAATTCATGCATTGTGTATTTTATTTTGAAAAACTCATTTGTGTATTGCATTTTAGATGCCTCGCAGTATTTTTATTCCATACTTGATATACTTTAATGTAGCTTTTCTGGATGTTTATGAGAGTGACTCAAACATATGCATTAAATAAATAAATAAAAAAAACAGCTAGAAAATTAAAGGAAGTTCTTGGACCTGAGAGCTCTTTCTCACATGTAATATTTGAGATCATTGGGAATCTGTTTTCATGCGACCAAGAACAAATATTAGCAGCCTTCTTTCTGATAAACTTTCTTGTTCCTTTCATCATGAATACTTCTCGTATTTGCTCAGTTGCAGAGTAACAGTAACAGAAGACTACTACTCCATACACACTCAGAAGACATATTTTCTTCTTGAACTGTGTTGTTGCCTGGCCTTTGGGATTGGGTCCCATAACAACAATCTCCTTTTGCCAAAATGGATTTGCATGTGTGAATTGTATTTAATTTCTCCAGCACAGGCACCCTTGACCTAAAGGGAATAGGTGCTATCAGATCCAATGGAAGCAGTATCATCTTATACAGCAGAAAGTCCTGTTGTACTTTCATTTCTTTGGACTAGTCCAGGGGTCGGCAACCCGCGGCTCCGGAGCCACATGTGGCTCTTTTACACCTTTGCCGCGGCTCCGGGGCGGATACTAGCGAGAGGAGGAGGCGCATTGTGCTCCCCGACACTCCCCACTGTGGCGGGCGCTGTACTGGCTGTGACATCGCATGGGGGCGGTGCGTGCGTTAGTCACGCACCATCCCGACGTCACCTTCCTGCCCGCCCGCCCGCTACATTGTAAGGGGCATGTACACTGGTCACTGCATTGAAAGGGGGCATGTACGCTGGTCACTGTTTTGAAGGGGAGTGAAGAACACACACACACACAAAAGACTTGTTAATTTAACGTTTATTTCTATGAGGAGGAGTAATTCTGAGGGGTCAAACAAAGAAATAATAAAAAAGTGACAAAAAAGTTATTTTTATAATGACGAGTTTGACGGCTCCCAGTTTTTTTTCCTTCGGAAACGGGTCCAAGTGGCTCTTTTTGTCTTAAAGGTTGCAGACCCCTGGACTAGCCCATTATCTCTTCAAAATGTCTGATGGAGCTGGAATCTAGAAATGAGAGTGGGAAACATAAAGTTAGGAAATGCTGGCCAAGCATTTGAATATCAGTTGCTGGGGGACGACAGTGGAACACATGAGCATCTGTAGAGGCACTGTAAGAAACAGAAAGCTAGAATAGGTGGGCCTTTGATCTGATCCAGTAGGGCTCTTCTTGTGATTTCCATAAATGCATTGACCATTAATTAAGCTGCTTGGCTTTGGTTTGGTTATAAAAGCTCACAAAAACTTCATAGAGGATTTTTTTTAGCGATTTAATACAGAATATTTTAATCAGTTAAAATATTCAGATAAGAACTTTTATCTAATATTCAGTTTAGCTCTAAACTGTGTGTGTGTATATATATATATATATTTATAAAAATCCCTTTTAATAAAGAATTAATCAAATATGTAGATTTCAAATCATACAGACTTTGTTTTTCATTCTGTTTGTTAGAAATTTATGTTAATAAAACCTTTTTAAAACTTTTAATTAGTCAAATGAAGTAAGCGTGTATGCATATTTGAAAGGCTTGGAAAATTAGCGTAGCGTTTCTTTTTCCTGGATATAGAAAATTAAAGGATATAAACTTTCTTTCAAATGTTCTCCATCTGCCTCTCCCAGTACAGAGGGATTCGTTCATTCATACCATTTCATTTCATTTTTTTAATTATTTTTTTAAATCTTAATAAATCTTCTCTTGCCAACTTCTTTAACTGAAACTCATTAACATATTAGAAGATAATTTATCAGCCGTGTCACATATATTGTTCCTCATATATCAATTTGTCATTCTTCTGCTCCCGTTCCCTTTTTAGAATATTAGGAATTATTTCAAATATGTATTAATGAGTATCTCCATGTGAATGTTAACTGTTGAGATTCATTCAAGTCCTTAAGATTAACTAAGGGGCAATTCTGCTTCTTTATCCTTTGGGGGGATAAGGCAATCAGGATAAGGTAACTACTATGTTGATGATTAAACAGAAATGCTTCTGAATACCAGTTGCCAAAAACTGCAGGAGGGAAGAGTGCTCTTGTGCTCAGGTCCTAAAGGTAAAGGACCCTTGGAAGGTTCAGTCCAGTCAAAGGCGACTATGGGGTTGTGGCGCTCATCTTGCTCTCAGGCCAAGGGAACTGGCATTTGTCCATAGACAGCTTTTTGGGTCATGTGACCAGCATGACAAAACCACTTCTGACGCAACAGGACACTGTGACAGAAGCCAGAGCACATGGAAGCACTGTTTACCTTCCCACTGCAGTGGTACCTAATTTATCTACTTGCACTGGTATGCTTTCAAACTGCTAGGTTGGCAGGAGCTGGGATAGAGCTCACCCCATTGCATGGATTCAAACCGCCGACCTTCTGATCAGCAAGCCCAAGAGGTTCAGTGGTTTAGACCATAGCGCCACCCGCTCCCATGCTCAGGTCCTGCTTGTGAGTTTCCCACTAGTATCTGGCTGGCCACTGTGAGACAGGGTGCTGGACCAGGTGGGCCATTGGCTGGCTCCAGCAGGCTCTTCTTATGTTCTTACCATCTGGTGCTCAGCAGATGCCATTGTGCTAGTACCAGCAACAGACCCCAGACTCAACACACTAGCAAAGTAGTCTCAAAAAGCTGAACTACTGTAGTGCAGTGGAAGGGAAAGGCAGGGGAGCACAGCTCTGGGACTTCTTTTTTCAGAGCAGCAGCAATGATAGCTGCTGGAACACCAAGGTAATTGATGGATCTTCCTTACTCTGGAATGATGAGATAAAGAGTTATTCAGGGTCTGCTAAAAAAATTTTTGTAAGAGATTAGCATAGAGGAAGCCAGACAATGAGGGAATCAACTAAGCAGAGACTGGATATTTCTTTTCTTTGATAGGGTTCTTCATACTAGCAGTTTAAATGGCAACATTTCTTTGCAATATTGTTTGTATTTTTAGCATAGGATTGCATCCACTCTGATACAGTGGTACCTTGGTTCTCAAACTTAATCTGTTCCAGAAGTCCATTCCAAAACCAAAGCCTTCCAAAACCAAGGTGCGCTTTCCCATAGAAAGTAATGCAGAATGGATTAATCTGTTCCAGACTTTTAAAAACAACCCCTAAAACAGCAATTTAACATGAATTTTACAATCTAATGAGACCACTGATCCATAAAATGAAAGCAATAAACAATGTACTGCAGTCACACAATCAATCAGTAGCTGAACTGGATTCCACACAGTTACAAAAACAAAACAAAAAAGAGCCGCAAAAACGCAAAATAAATAGCAAAACCAGACATACCTCAGTGTAAAACTCAAAACGGAAGTGTGGCACTCAAAACGGAGCATGTTCAGCTTCTGAAAAAGGTTTGCAAACTGGAGGACTTACTTCCCGGTTTGCAGTGTTTGGGTTCCAAGTTGTTTGAGTACCAAGACATTTGAGAACCAAGGTACCACTGTACTAATAAAGTGGAAATTATGTTATATAATGCTGTTATTGGGGAGGCCAAACAGACTCTCCCTGAGGGTGCTGCTACTGGAGATGCCATAGCAGTCTAATAGCAGTCTAAGGCGCAGGGGTGGGTAGAGAACATAATCCACTTTCATGTGTTCATCATGTGAAGGAGGAAGGTGCTCAGATGCCAGCACTTTTAACAGAATATAGTTCCCAAGATGGTTTGGGGGAAATCATGGCTCTTTAAAGTGGTATGTTTAAAGTGGGACGTGGGTGGCGCTGTGGACTAAACCACTGAGCCTCTTGGGCTTGCTGATCGAAAGGTCGGCGGTTTGAATCCCAGCGACGGAGTGAGCTCCCGTTGCTCTGTCCCAGCTCCTGCCAACATAGCAGTTTGAAAGCATGCCAGTGCAAGTAGATAAATAGGTACCACTGCAGTGGGAAGGGAAACGGAGTTTCTGTGCACTCTGGCACTTGTTACATCCCTCCGTGCACCAGTAACGGTTTAGTCATGAAGGCCACACGACCCAGAAAACTGTCTATGGACAAACACTGGCTCCCTTGGCCTGAAAGCGAGATGAACGCCACACCCCAAAGTCACCTTTGACTGGACTTAACCGTCCAGGAGTCCTTTTACCTTTTTAAAAGGTAAAAAGGTGGTATGATACTGCTTTATTAAATGAATAGTGCAGATGAGGCCCAACGTCTTGGTTCACAGCTCTGTGTTTCAGCTCAATCCTATGCATGTTTCCTCAGAAGTAAGGCTCATAGGCCCAGAAATGCATGCACAGGAAAACTACAGCAGCCATCACAATGCTGTTCTCCCTCCCTCCCTTCACTTCCTCATGCACTGAGGCATAATGTGAAAAGGTAAATCAGCTCTTCCTAAGCGCTTCACAACCTTCTTCACCTCAATCAATCCCTACTTTCCCCCCCTTTACACTCAATTATCCTGGGCTTGTGTCTCTTAGTTTTTCTTATGGTAATACAGTCACATTTCTCCTTTCCATTCTCCCCCCACCCCCACCCCCATTCCTGGAGGCTTTCACTGTTTTCTCTATCTGTCTTCCGCAGCTGTTAAAAACTCATTGGAATCATATATGCTTGACAAAATTGCTCATAAAGACAGCAATGTGAGTGACAGCCGCTCGCTGTAGGCTCCCAGCCACACATGTGAGATGGCGCACTCAGTCATGCCATAAACCATTTCAACAAAAGCCAGTATGTTCTTGTATTAACTTAGATGCTCACGGAGCGCTCAGCCCGTCACAGATTTTCATGCAAGCCTGAGTCTGTGAAAGTTTCAAATGACAAAGCAACTGGGCCTTGCCATCTTTTTAGAAACGCAGCGCAATTCGAGGATAAAGGTCTGCAAGCACAGGAGGGATAATATTATCCATAGAAAATGCTTTCCCTCTTCATAGAGGTGCTGTGCATGTAGCAAGGAAGGGCCTAGCAGGAGCAGGTGTAATAGGTCAGATAGAGCTGTGGGTTGAATCCAGAAAGTCATTGCATAAGTGGAATAACAACTGCTCACTCCCATTCCTTATTCTCCCTGCATGCACTTCTTGCCCCCAAATCTGCTCTTGGGGGCAGGTTGGGAAAACCTTCAGAGAATATTGCAGGGGGTTAGGGGCATGCAGGGAGAGGAGATGAATTTGACTGTGCAAGCTGACATCAAACCTGTTAGAGGCAACTTTCTGTTTTGGGACAGCCAGGCCGAAAGTCTGAAACCAATATAGACTGGATGTGCTCCAAAGGCCAAATTTAAAAGAACACGAGACTGTGGGAATTAAAAATAATAATAGCTGAAACTTTTTTATTCCACATTTCAAAATAAGGAAGATTTGGTTCAGCACATGACTAGATGCTAGTCTGCCATCTTCTTGTGGGGTTACATAAACCCCACAATGAGTGTACAACAGTCATCATGTAGCAGATTGGCCTCTATAGCTATGGTATAAGACAAGAGTGGTTTGCCCATGTGTGTCTCCTAAGTAATGGCTTATATGTGAGATAAAACCTTGATAGCGTCACATGACATTTATTAGGTTTTTTCTTGAGCTGCTAGTCAACAATAACTTGAGGAAAATCAAGTTATACATTTGTGGAATCAGTCCATGGGCTGCCACCATATCTAATTTCAGATACCATAAGGAGTGTCCACCTTGTTTGGTCCAGCCCAGCCCAGGCCCTGTGGTCAGCTGGAGAGTCTTACTACGGTCTGAGGGAGGGGGATCTCTTTGGCAGCACCCAGATTAAGGAAACCCAAGAGTGTTGGCTAGGATAGCCATGCGTTCTGTTTTTCCTCTGTTTAAGGGGCTGTTTAAGGTGCTGTCCACTCCAAAACCAGTTTAAAAATAAAGTAAGAAGGGAGAGCAGGACCCCTTCACTCGCTAGCACCTGGAAAGCTGGCTGAGCAGGGACACTAGGTTACCTGATCAGTATTCTCTCTTTTTTTATATATAATGATATTTATTAAAGTTTCAGAAACAAAAGATTACATAGATAAAAAGAAAAGAAACAAGAGAAAAAATAAAAAAGAGAAAAAATACAAGATACAAAATACAGAAAAAAATAAATAAATAACACTTAAAAACAAATCAATCTTTCCGTACCTTACATTTCATTTCCTTGCTTCCCTGACCTCCTCTCACCTCCCTTTTTTGTATTCCAGTTCAATTGGTTAATTCAGCAATTCCTTTCCCTCTTTGTTTTTATCTTAATCCTTTAACTTAATCTATTTATAACTTTGGATTCTCACCTGTTAACAATCCATTTTTGCATACACCTTTATAACATTGCTGCTAAAACCACTTAACTTCATTCTGACATCATTCTAACATTCATTAATTTTGCAATATTTCTGTAAATAGTCTTTAAATTTCTTCCAATCTTCTTCCACCGACTCTTCTCCCTGGTCTCGGATTCTGCCAGTCATTTCCGCCAGTTCCATATAGTCCATCACCTTCATCTGCCATTCTTCCAGGGTGGGTAGATCTTGTGTCTTCCAATACTTTGCAATAAGTATTCTTGCTGCTGTTGTGGCATACATAAAAAAAGTTCTATCCTTCTTTGGCACCAATTGGCCGACTATGCCCAGGAGGAAGGCCTCTGGTTTCTTCAAGAAGGTATATTTAAATACCTTTTTCATTTCATTATAGATCATCTCCCAGAAAGCCTTAATCCTTGGGCACGTCCACCAAAGGTGAAAGAATGTACCTTCAGTTTCTTTACATTTCCAACATTTATTATCGGGCAAGTGATAGATTTTTGCAAGCTTGACTGGGGTCATGTACCACCTGTATATCATTTTCATAATATTCTCTCTTAAGGCATTACATGCCGTAAACTTCATACCTGTGGTCCATAACTGTTCCCAGTCAGCCATCATTATGTTATGTCCAACATCTTGTGCCCATTTAATCATAGCAGATTTCACCATTTCATCCTGAGTATTCCATTTCAACAGCAAGTTATACATCTTTGACAAAATCTTAGTTTTGGGTTCTAACAGTTCTGTTTCTAATTTTGATTTTTCCACCTGGAAGCCAATTTTATTGTCCAAATTTTATACCTGATCAGTATTCTCCACTATGGTGAGATGCACTGTATTGCTACTGATAGAGAGCCAGTGTGGTGTAGTGGTTAAAAGCGGTAGTCTTGTAATCTGGGGAAGCGGGTTTGCGTCTCCACTCCTCCACCCACAACTGCTGGGTGACCTTGGGCTAGTCACACTTCTCTGAAGTCTCTCAGCCCCACTCACCTCACAGAGTGTTTGTTGTGGGGAAGGAAGGGAAAGGAGATTGTTAGCCGCTTTGAGACTCCTTCGGGTAGTGATAAAGCGGGATATCAAATCCAAACTCTTCTTCTTCTTCTTCTTCTGATATTTTTAAAATAATTATTTCTAAATTTACATATTTTAATTTGCAAATTTTATGCAAATCTGAATCCTCTTGAGCTTTTGGGGTGTGTGAGGCATCTCTTCCTTTCTTGTGATACGTATGTACCTCCTGAAACATGATCCTTTACTTTCATTAGTAGCAGTAGTAGTAGTATTTAGTCACTTTGCCCATATTTCTTTTCCAATTATTGCAATTTTCAGCATCAGATGAATACGTTTCTTGTTGCTGTTTCTTAGGTAACTATTTGGGCTTTATTCCCCCTCTCCCCTTCTCTGTTTTCAGACAGTTTGTTATGCTTTTGGCTGAATTTGCTCTGTTCTGTCCTAATTTATTTCATTGATTGTTTCAGTCTGAGTGTGTTGCTTTGGAATATTGCAAGTCATCACAATCATACCTCTGGGAGAAGAAAAGCAGGGTTAAAACCCCATAAATAAAAATAAAGATAGTTTGGGCTTTAAATGTGAGGTTCATTACACAGGTATTATTAGGATTCACTCAAACAACCATTAAAATAGTCTTCCCTCCCTCTGAAGGAAATTGTAAGATTTAGGACACAGCGAACAGATAATGCACTCAGAAGTATTTCCCCCCTTACTGTGGCTTTATAAAGTCAGTTTCTGGATTGAAAGGTCAGAATGTTGGTGACTCAGTCTCTCACACCTTGGAGAGAGTTTAAGGAACCTCAATCTGAGTCGCTTGAGGTCTGATTCAAATACAGATTGCAGCCTGTTAGGCATTTGACCATTCCAGGGATTGAAGTTTAAAAAAAGCTCTTTTCCTTTAACATGGTGTTAGCCCTGATTTAACCTGAACCAGTGCTTCAATTCTAAATATAGTTAGAAGTTAATTGGTGCCAGGGTTCAGGCCAGATTGGATGCTGAACTGTCTCTCGACAAGGTGCTTACCTCTCCAGTCACAAATGTGGATTGAGCAGGCAAGGGCTATTCAACTGTGAAGTGAAAACATTCTGCACATGGTCAGGGGCCACCTGTTCACTGTGATTCCTTCATGGGGCCCAGGGTTCTATTCTGAAACTGAAACATATTTTCAGACTAAAACCTGGCAAAGATTTAGAGCTGTGTCACAGAAGAGTTTCTACACAGAAACTTTGACCCTATTTGCATTTAATGCTAGGCCAAACCACTGCTTAGTGCAAATGAATGAGTTCCTGGAGAGCAGCTTGCTCTTTCCCCAATCCTGCTGCTCCTGTAAACTAAGCAATGGTTTTTCTTAGCATGCCATTCAAACCTGGGCTTGTGTATTATCCCACTTTGCTCTGGCTTCACAGCTCATGGCGCACCATGAGACCAGGTTGGGATGACGCACAGAGCCAAACTATGGGTTTAAATCTCAGCAGCAAAACCACCAGATGACCAGAGGAGCAAAGTGACCACAATCTCCTATCTGGAGCTGACACACCTACACATTTGTGCTATGCCATATTTCATTCTATCATTACAGATGGACTGTGCCAGCGTGTATGTAGATAGATAGATCACAATAGGATTAGAATTTGGAGAGGGCAAAAAGCAAAAAATGTCAGACCCTGTTGTATAAATGGGTGCAGGATGTATGGTCATTCTCCATGGAGAAATACACTTATGTGCACACAAGATATAGAGAATAGCTTATTGGTTTATTATTGTGCTCTTGAGATACTGGTGCTGATACTGTTTCTTGACTTATATTGATTGAAATAGTTACAGGTAGGTAGTCGTGTTGGCTGCCATAGTCGAAACAAAATAAAAAAATCCTTCCAGTAGCACCTTAGAGACCAACTAAGTTTGTTATTGGTATGAGCTTTCGTGTGCATGCACACTTCTTCAAATATCAGTATCTGAAGATATCAGTATCTGAAGACGTGTGCATGCACATGAAAGCTCATACAGTACCAATAACAAACTTAGTTGGTCTCTAAGGTGCTACTGGAAGGAATTTTTTTTATTTTGTATTGATTGAAATGTTATTTCTATGCTGTTAGAACTACAGACCCTTCAAATGCCCCTATTTTCCAGGGACGTCACTGATTTAGATAAGCTGTCCCGGTTTCTGATTTGATCCTGGAATGCCCCTCTTTTCTTTAGGATGTCCCTATTTTCACTGGAGAAATGTTGGAGGGTATGGAGTTATCTGACCCATCTGAAGGCAATACTGTATAGGGAAGGGTTTGGTTTTTTTAATTTTTAATGTTTTATTATGTTTTTATATATGTTGAAAACTGCCCAGAGTGGCTGGGGCAAGATGGGCAGAGTATAAATAGTAAATAGTAAAATTATCATTATGGAATGTGACGTCCCTATTTTCATCAGAAAAAATATTGGAGGGTATGCAACTACAGCTTTGAAGCACAACCTGACTATGGAAAAATGGAATGCAAATATGAAATGAAATCTAAGGATACAGGCACTCAATTTAAAATAATTCAGATTGGCTTGTTCTTGTTACGGCATGAATGCTTTGTACATTTGGCATCTTGTGACTATGGGGATTGTATAGATAGTTTGATTTAAAGTAATCCTGGCTCCTTCAGCGAAGAGTGATTAAAGCCCATCTTTTGCCTTTATCACTGTGGTAGCTGAAAATAACAAAGTGTCATTTGATGAAGTGTGATGAAAACCGTTACTAAAAGATATCAACAGGAGAAAGCGAAATCTCTTCAGTTTTCAGTAACCACGGTAATGATGATGCATGGATTGTAGCAGCTGGAAAGAATGGTGAGCTTTTGAGATGCAAAAAGTTATAGCCCTGGACACATTATTTCCTGTTCCTGTTATTCTCTGGACAGAATGTGAAGTACAGCTGATTCCATCCCCCATCACAACTTTCATCTGGCTTCCCAATTGAATTCCCAACCCCCTGTTCCTTCCCCCCACTACAAGCTTACTTTAACTCCCTCCAATGCAATCCCTTTGCAGCCATACCCAACCTGGTGCCCTCTGAATGTTTTGAATTATTATGTATTATCAATATTTATTAAATTTGTATATCGCCCTTCATCCGAAGTTCAGAGGGCAGTTCACAACATAAAAATACAAAATGAGAACACAACATGCATAATAAAAAGAAGAAAAAGAACAAAAACAAGCTAATAACTCCTTTCCCACAAAGGATAGAATGTTAACGAGCCAAAGGCCTAGTTAAAGAGAAGCATTGACACCCAGCATCCTCTTCTGACAGTGGCCAACTAGATGCATATGAGAGTACTAGTCACGCCCTCTGGGGTAACAGGGAAGGAAACCGTTCCATCTTCGACAATGTGAAATCTACATGACAGCCTTGAGAGGTTTAAAGTCAGCTATTATGTCTCCCTGATCGTCTCTTCTCCAGGCTAGACATGCCCAGCTATTCCATCAGCTCTGCATTCCAGACTCCTCACCATCTTGGAAGTCCTCCTATGGATGCATTCTGGTTTGCCAATGTCCATAAAATGTGGTGCCTGTGACTAGGTACAGTACTTCAGATGCCATCTGATAGGACAAAACAGAGTGGAACTTTTTTCCTGATCTCGACACTGTGCTTCTGTTCATGCATATTCCATTAGCTTTCTCAGCAGGTTCAACACGCTCTTACTAGCTCACGTTCAGCTTGTGATAAATTAAGACACTAAGATTCTTTTCACATATATTTCTGCCAAGCCAGGCCTCCCCCACCATATTTTTGTGCCTTTGCAGGGGGGGGGTGTTAATGCAGGATTTTGTATGTATTTTTTGTTGAATTTCATCTTGCAGCTTTTGTCACGGTGTTCAAGCATGCCAAGACTATTTGAATCTTGACCATGAATCTTATCATGAAGTGAGGCCATCCCCCTGATTTGTTTATGTCTATTAATTTTTTAAAAAATAAACTCTTGTGGGTTGAAATAGATACCACTAGGAAAATGGGCATAGGATATAGGAAAGTTAGCACCAGCATGGCCAGCATTACTGTGCATTGTGTTACTACATCAACAACTGGGTGTCCATTGAACCAGTTGTGCATCATTGCAAAATTGGTAAACAGATCTAATATGCAAAAGTATGTACAAAAGTGTCCCTTATTTTGATCATCTAGTACTTTTCCAGGTCACTGAGTGCAGGCATGGATGGACTGCAGTATGATGAAAATGGTTCCCAAATTTAAAGGGTTGCATCTAATATTAATCATGCTCTGAGCAGATTCAATGAAAATCATTTCAGTGGGTCTGTTCTGAGTGAAATTGGGTTGGATACAACCCAAAATAGACAATACTTGGGAATTCCAAAGGTTTGGAATTTGGAATTGAAGCTTTGGATTTCATGTTTAGCATTGAATATATTTTTTTATTAAAAGAAAACCTGAACACTCATAACACTCAATAGTTTTTAAGCAATACCCACCCACCCAGTCTTTAAATTTAACAACATTCACAACTGGGAAGGTTGAAATGAAAACCTATTTGATTTTTTGCAAATATGTTTGAACTAGAACTAGCCAGAGAATTGCCCTCTATCACCACCCAGATTTCTTTTAGTTCTACCATTCACCAAAAATAGTAACTGCCCAAAGAAAGAGAATTATAGTCAAATCAATAACAATGCAGGGGGGGGAACATTAAAACTTGCTTGGGTATCTATGCTTTGATTGTGAGGTTGAGGTTGAGGTTGCCAGTATGGCTGAGGCAGTTTACAGTTACAAATGGATTGTTAGTGCCATGGAATTCAGAAGCCCCTTAACCTTTTGCTACCATATTTTCTGAAGTATCTCACACTTCCTACCTTTCTCTGCAGACTAATGCCAAAGTTCTGCAAATACTTAGAGCTGACTTTAAGCCAAAGGAAGAATCTCTCAGCAGAATGCTATCTTCACCCACATTGTACTCTTTCAGACGAGGGAAAGCCTTGAGTATTTCTCCACCGTCTGAATCTGTGCCTGAAAAATAGACTTGCGTTCCCATTAAGCTGTCTTCAGTAAAGTTTTGAGACTGACAGCAAAGTTCCGCTGAGAGCTACAGAAAAAACCCTTAAGACAAGAAATATGCCAAGCTGCCTGCAACAGCCATGCCCAACATGCTTTCTGCACAAGTCAGGGTTTGGCAAATGCCTTTCAGCTGCTTTCTGTAGCGCCAGGATGACATCAAGTGGTAACTCGAGCCAATTACTCTACTTCACAATAACATCCTTCATTGTTTTCAGTCATGTTTCTCTCCCCCCTCCTCCGAAAGGAAAAATCAATAATGCACATGGTACCCTTCAGTTTGAAATGTAGCTTTTCATCTTTCTTTCCCGGTTTTGAATGCCAGCCTTAGATATATAGGAAGCTGGTTTACACAGAGTCAGACCAATAGTCCAACCCGCGCAGTATTGCCAACAATGATTGGCAGAAGCTCTTTCAGAGCTCAGACTGGAAACCTTCCCAGCCCAACCTGGGGATGCTGGGAACTGAACCTGAGACCTTCTACATGCAAACCATGTCACCTAGCTGTGTTCTACAGCCCTTGGCCTGTTGTCCTCTGCTTCCCCTTGTTGCAGAGATATGCTACGGACACAGATTCTCCTTAGCTTCTTCTCTCTTCCACCTCCCCAAAATGCTGAGAACTACATTTTTGCTTATAGAGCAGGGATCTCTAACAGGGAATCTTCCAGAAACATTAAACTAACACCTGCATAATCTCTTTGAGGACAAGGCAGTGCCGGTTAAAAAGCAAATTGAAACTGCTATAGTTTAGTATATTTTTATCTTATCCTTTCCTTCCTCCAAGATGCTCATGTGCCCTGTTCTTCCAAGGAAAGCCCACAAGGCAAGGCAGCAGGGCAACAAGGAAGCAAAGTCTGGGGCTACATCCATACAATACTTTAAGCACATACGAGGGTGATCTGGCTGCGACATCTGTCACCCCATTGATCGCCAGGGTTGATTCGGCTGATCTGGCTGGCTAGGCGGGTGTCCCCTTCCTCCCTCACTGCTCCCTGTGCGTCCCTCCCGAAGCTGCACGCTTGGTGGAAGAGGATAACCATCCCAGATAGTAGGAGTGTACCGTTCTTTGGTCAAGGGTATACAATAGCGGCACTCCCCTGCTAGAACCTCCAAACAAGCTCAAGGGAACTGTCATTTTCTAAGGGTATCATAACCATTCTTAGTTCTCTTAAGAAACTACAGTTCCCAGCATACTTTGGAAGGAGCTGAGTGGTATAAGAATGCCTTAAACATATGCTGTGGCATGGCAGCTCTCTAGGAGCTCTCCATGGTACTTCCTTCCTGCACATCCAGGTGTATAAGCACAAGTGTCTTGTAGGGAGGAGACATTTTGTTGTCCACTGGTATTTCACTTTCCATTTTTAAGTTTGGCAATGAGTAATTGCTTTGGAAAACAATAATCAGATGTCCAAACAGCATGGCCAGTCCAACGAAGTTGATGTTGAAGACACTGGTGATCTTAGCTTCTTTCAGTACACTGACATTAGTTTGCCTGCCTTCCCAAGTGATATGTACAATTTTTCAGAGACACCATTGACTGAACCTTTTGAGGAGTTGGAGATGGCATTTATAAGTGGTCCATGTTTCACAAGTGTACAGTAAAGTTGGTAGTACAATAGCTTTGTAAACAAGCATTGTGGTTTCCCTGTGAATATCCTGGTCCTCAAACACTCTGCACTTCAATTAGGAGAAAGCCACACTCGCAGAGCTCAGACAATGCTGGATTTCGGCATCAATGTCAGCCCTTGTGGAAAGATAACTGCCTAGATAAGAAAAGTGATTGACATTTTCCAACGTTACACCATTAAGTTGGATTTGTGGCACAGCAGAAGGGTTGATTTGTGCTTGTTGGTGCAACACTTTGGTTTACAAAAGCCCACATGTGCAAACATTGGATATGCAACATCAGGTGGGGTTGATGGAAGTTGAAGTCCAAGAACACCTGGAGGGCCACAAGTTTTCTCTTTCTGCCCTGCTCATTTGTAATCACATTGACCTTGCAAATGATTTTGTTTCCCCTCATTTTGCAGGCTCACATGTTTCATCCCTGCCTTGGTGACACGGAGGCTCCAGTCCTGAACGCAGCTGCTTGTTGAGACAAATATGACCTACTTGCATGTGATTCTGGCAGTACGAGAGGAGTTGAAAGTTTAAATTAACCTAGTGAAGGTTAACCAGCCCAGAGGTGCTTCATAAAATCTACTTGCACGCTCTTCCCTGGTAGCAGATTCTATCCTGTGTAATTGTCAGATAACATCTTCTGTAGATACACGCTTGACACAAAGCTGTCTATGTCTGACAGGAATTCCACCAAGATAGCCTGTCATGTTTTTATTTAAAGCTCAGATCAACTTTGGGAAGCATGTTTACATCTGCTGCAATCCTCGCAACAACACATCAACATTAATTCCAAGAGATACTTGGAAAAGCCTACTGCCCCTGAGCTTGACACTCCCTCAAAATTTTGAAATAACTAGCTTACCCTTCAAAGGCTGATAATCATCGCAGCTCCTTCAGGGATCTTTCTAACAAGGCAGTCACCTTGGTTCATTTGAGCTCTGGGGTTTTTCCAATGACTTTGATTAGAAATGACAAGTCCTAGTCAAGCAATGGATCTAGAATAAATCAAATTCTTCTGTGCAATAAGCATGAAACTACACTTCATTTTAAGGCTTTCTAGGGTGCAAACACCAGAGGAATGATCCAGCCATAGTGAAGCATCCCCCCACCCCCAAGTCCTGTTAATTTCAATTAGGGGTGGCAACAAATTTCAGAATTGGGAAGTGGAGCTGGAAACCTCAGTTCTGAAAACAATAGACAAACTCTCCTACATTAGCTCATCTCAGCACCAGCCTTCCCTAACATTCCCTCCTCTCAGTTTCTCTCTAAACCATCCTTTCCCAAATGTATTTGTGGAGAGGAGAAGGCAAATATGGGGCAGGAAAGGCTGAGGCCCTGTCTTTAAGTGACACAATGGAGGCTTCCAATCATGCTCTGAGATCTCGATTGTGTCACCCTGGAATGCTGAAGTGCTTCACCCCTCTTGGGTGAATGGGTTGAGCCAAGAAAAAAATCCACACTACAAACCAGGAACAATCTATCCTGCCCACAAGTTTCAATATTGATATCAGACTTGTGCTGATATAAATTCTTGCATAGTGGCCAAAATGTCTTCAAAGGCCATAAATTTCCCCTGGTCATCCACGTCCTCTGACACATGATATGTATTATTTCAGGCACATGTATGCTAGGTTTTTTTTTACAAAAGCATTGCAACTATTAGCAATAGTTTTTTTAAAAAACCTAACAGACCTCTTTGTCAACTAGAACAAGGCCCAAACCTGGCTTGAAAGTTGATGTTCATCGCCTTTCACTCTTGTTTCTCCCTTTCTCAGATTGTGAGCTCTGTGGGGCAGGGACCTGCTTTCTTTTTTTCCTACTTTTCTTTTTCTTTTTTCTTTTGCTCCTCTGTGAAGTATGCACATTAGTGTTCATAAATGAGCAGTGGTTTAGAACACTGTAAGATCAGGCTTTCTGTGGAATCCTTGTTCATAAAAATCCAATAATTTTGTCTGCTCTGAGCTGCCATGTGTGGCGTCCCACCTCCCAATGTGACTGACTATAACACTTCAGGAAGAGGAGGGAATTTCTTAAGGAAATAGAATTCCTACTGGCTGGTTTAATGTATGGTTACCAGACGTCCCCATTTCCTGGGGACAGTTCCTGGATTTACAAATCTGTCCCCGGACAAAATCCGTCCCCGGAATGTCCCTGGATTTCATTTAATGTCCCTGGATTTATGTTTTAAGTATTGTAGATTTATTAGTAGGGAATGAATGTTGTGTGATTGGTTCAACGGCACAAGAGGCATCATATGGGGACTTCCGGTGAGGCAAAATGGCAAGCGCCACGGCAGCGAGCAGCTCCTGAAGCCAGCCAGAACCAACTGCTCTACCAGTCTGGCTCTGGGCTGCTGAGACTGCTGCTGCTGCCGCCACTGCCAAGGGGAAACCGGAGATGCCCGGTGCATCAACAGGAGGAACCACTGACACACACACACCCATGACCCAAATTGAGCTGGGAGCGAGAGCGCCCGGTCGACTGCCCAGCAGCGCTCTGGGACCAGTAAAAACCCTGGAACCGATGCAGGGAGAAAGAGAAGGAAGAGAGAGAAAGAGGAAGGAGAAAAAAGAGGGGAGCCCCAACCTTGCCACGCTGCTGCTGCTGCCGCCACTGAGGAGGAGAGGTAGGAGAGCACCAGGAAGGCAAGGGCACGTGGCCGAGCCCAGGCCCAATCCAAGCCTACTCCATGGTGGCTAATGCTCCAAGAGAGCAGGCCTGGGTCACGCAACAGAGTAGACCACATAAGAGAAGATATTACTTCTTTTTTTAAAATAATAATAACTTTTTCTCTCTCTCTCTTTTTTTAAAAAAGGTGTCCCCGGATTCTTTGAAAAAAGTCTGGTAACCTTAGTTTAATGAAAGGGGAATTCTTCCACTAGGCATTGAAACCTTGTCCAATGTTAAACTTCCTCCCAGCAACCATCTCTTTGTCAGCATCATTTTAGGAATGGTGGTGGCAACTCCATGCCAGGTCATAAGTGGGTGGGATCATGTTCATTTTAATACGATGTCTTAGGGTGCTGAAGGAAGTGTGATGTTAAATGTGTCTTTGCATTTAATGTGCATTTTACATTAACTGCTGGCAAGTAGGGAGCCTAATAATGATCAGAATTGCAACAGGTGGCAAAGGCCAGTTTAACCCTTTCCTCCCCTGCTGTACTCACTTGAACAGGCTATTTCCATTGGCTGGCAAAAATGGGGGATTTCCTCTCAATGCAAGTAGCAGCCTCAGAAAGGGGATTTTCCTCAGGAGTGCATCAGGGAGGAAAGGGTTAAACTTATCATTCCCCACTATGTTCCTGGCAATTATCAGCCTCCACCCTACCCTACTCCTGTCCCCAGCTGATGCTCTATGCACTTTTTTAAAACAACAACAACAAAAACCCTGCACATTAAATGCACATTTACCATCTGGTAAATGTGATTGGTTTGGTCCTACGTTAATGGGATATTGCAGTCTTAAAAAGTGTATCAGAAAATTTGAAGAATTTTTTTGTTAAGCATAAGGGTGAGGGTTCTTTTCACAAAAAGAACCCTAACAGTTCTTTTCACAAAAAGAAAAATGTAGGGATAAAATGAATCTCTTTATTTTAATCAAGGAGAATTCAGTGCAAGGAGAATTCAAATATAATGTGATAATGGAAACCAATAAGCAATTTTACATCACACCATTTCCATTACTGATGAATTTAGCTTTGAACAGTTTCCTGGTTTTTACAAATGGCTGTTGGAATTACGAACCAAAAGGGAGGGGGGAATCATATTTCAGACACTGACATGTGCGTCAGACTAAGTTCACATATATTCCAGAATTAGAGTTAATTGGTTGAAAGCGGGATGGAATTTTGTTTTAGTTTTTTGAATTTTGTCAGTCTGGCTCCAATATCCTGTCTCTTTGCTAGGGAATAAGATGCAATCTGTGAAAGAGAGCACGTTGCTCTTCACCCCCCCCCCCCATCAACCTTGTAGTTGCAATGCCCAAAGCGATCTTGCATATTGTCTACTTTTAATGGACTTTCCTAAGATCAGGGTGATTTATTCATTCTTTCCTTCTTTCCATCCCTCTCTCTCTCTCTTAAGCAAACAAAAATGAGGGTTCACTGAGTAGGCAGTTTATCTTGAGCTCTCACAGTTTTAATTTTAGCACTGAAAAGCTAATCAAGGTACAGTTGGAAAAGCTGTGAGATGTTAACTTCCCTGCTGCTGGGTTCAACGGTGTAATCACTACCTCTGCGTTTCTTTAGGATAGGAGAACTGGAGGGAACAGTTAGGGGGAGGAGAGTATCTTGTCAGCTTATACCTGCCTTATCTAAACCTGGCAGAATGCTTTAAAGAAAAAACCCTATAGAACTGCCCTCTCAAAGGTTTGCTTTGCTGCACTTTCATTTTTCTTTAGGTCGTTTGACTAGCGTCATACCACATTCGTTGTCTTAGCTCCCACCCCCACCCCGTTCTTGCTCTCTCTCTCTTTTAAAATTAGGTTGAGTTCAAGAGATATCCATAGGAGATGTTCACATGAAACTCTTTTAAATAAAACAAACAGATTGAATTCATTTCTTGGTGGCTTGTAGTTAAGAGCAGAACCTGGGAGAGTGTGGCATGAGTCTGA